GGCGATGGGGTTTCCCTGGCGCAGGCAGGTCGTCATGCAGGCGCTCTGGCTCTGGAAGGTGTTTGTGCCGTGGCTGGCGAGGGATCCGGCGCTGCTGAAGCAGCCCAGGACTTGCTGGCCGGAGACGAGGGAGACAGAGACGCCCAGGAGGAGGAGCGAGAGGAGGACCATGCTGTATGTACTGTACTGTACGGTATATATAAACAGATGCTGGCAGCAATAGCAACTTCGGGAAAGCAAGTTATTTATTCATGGACAGGATGAGTCTCCTTTATCTGCCGTACTCCGTAAGTGTACCTACCCCTGTCGTTTCAATCCCAACCACTCCATTTATTCATTCTTTCTTTCTTTCAGCTCTGTCGGCCACCGGGGCAGCGGGCAGGGCAGATCACGTCTCCAGCCGAGCGCCGATCGACAACGCGTCCACCAATAGACCGGATCGAGTGGCCGATCGGCGTGGAGGTTCGAAACTAGTTTCCGGTTTGAGTGAAATCAATCAGTTTATTTATTTCCTTTGGTACGGAGTTGTGGGGGCCACAGAAATACATCATACTCTGTAGGGTATCAAGCACGAGGTCGTAGGTATAAACCGCAGAATATAATAGGGACAATAAAATACAATAATAAATACCAGCTGCAAATACTGTGGCCTCTAGCCTGTAGTATAATATCTTTCATTCATGTACTGTAAATACAGTCCTTTTTTTTATCCCTAGATAGTAGTATATGCAAGCAGCCGATCATGACGCAATAGTGTCTGTTCCTGAAACATGTAAGACACGCGACAACAACTTTGGCCCACCAGTCAGTCAGGCCGGGGGTTTCCGGCGAACTATTTATATTCCGTAGTCAGCAATTGCATGTATTACTGTATGGAGTACGGAGTACCAAAGGAAATACGAGCAGCAAGGGCGGCGATAGTACGGAGTATATGCTGTATAGTCTTGACTTGTTTATTATTTTTTGCTCCCTGGCTGTGGGATGAACCTGTCTGTTTCATTTCTTTTCTTGTTTTTTTTGTTTTCTTCTCTCTCTCTTCTGTTTTTTTTTTCCCTTCGCAGTCCTATATCACTGACTCACTGCTTTTCTGTCACGTGCAGGCATCACACAATCATGTACAGTACAAGGAATTAGGCGAGTTTATTAAAAAAATAAATTATTCTGAAAGTGCGCACATATACAGGACTCTCACTGTGTGTTTTCGTTTGATATACAGATCATTGCTTTAATGAACCAAAAATTTCATTTGCAGATATCCGATTTTATTTATTACCTGGTCCTTTTATTTTCCTTTTTTTTTAAAAAAAAAGTTTATTTATCTTTTTCTCTTGTTTCTTTTTTTTTTTAAAAAAAATGGATTTTTCTTTCGAGCTTGACTTTCTTTCTTCGAAGGAAATTAATTGTATTCGGATAGTCAAGTACTATGTAACTACTCGTATCTAGCTAACTATTACTCTGTACTGTACTACAGTGATGGCAGACTGAGACTTGCGACTGTGTGGATTGGCTGCACGGCATTATGCCGCACTCGTTGGTAATGATAAATAATTATAGCGCTGCAACACTTGTGTTGATTGATTGATTGATTAATTTTGTTTTCGAGTGAGACGCTAGTTTGTTGCTATAAGCTCTTCCAGGATGAGGATAGTCAGATAGGTAATCTATTTCTGAAGTGTATTTCTGAAGCGACTACTGTTCATTCATCTAGTTAATGTTGTCCTGTCTATATACTCCGTATATACTGCTGTATATACTGCCGTCTAGTTACTCCACTTGTCAAACGAACGGATCAGATCTGCCATCGTCAGTATCATCTACATAATACGGAAGCTGACAAGTTGATAACCTACCGTAATATAGGGCAATCCCCTCCAGATGCACGTCAATGTCCACCCTCTCGTCCACCGTGTGGATGTTCACCGACCCCCCCGCGCGCTGCGGGTTCCACCGGTAGATATTCCTCGTCAGATTCCAGTAGAACCGCGTGTCCGTGTTGCCCGTCATGATGTCGCCGCTGACCACCACCGTCTTGCCTGCCAGACTGGGCACCGATTCGAACACCGAGCGTGCCACGCCCGAGAAGCGCGCCCACACCGCGTCCTTGCGCACGTCTGTCGGGCTGATCGGTGCTGGCTCCAGCGGGATGTTGGGCGTTGTCAGGTCGAGGTGGTTGCTGCTGCTGCTGCTGTCCCCCGATCCGAACGCGTTGAAGCTGAGGTTGTACTTCTCGACGATGGGCTGGATGATCTTTACCGCCCGAGCCTTGACGTCGTCCGGCCTCTCGTGCAGCGCTACCCGGTAGTTGACCGTCGCGTTGATCTTCTCCGGCAGCGCGTTGATCTTGACGCCTCCCCGGATCAGATCCACCGCCTGCGACGTCTGGTACGTGAAGCGCACCGTCTCGCCGCGCGACGCGGCCAGCGCCTCGGCCAGCCCGACGTAGTCGTCCGACTCCAGGGCCGAGGCCAGCCAGGGCTCGACGTCGTCCGGCGAGTGTTGCGCCTGGCACTGCAGGGTCTGGCGCGCCGGGTGCTTCTCGTCGAGCCGCGGCACGAACAGGTCGTCCCGCTCCAGGTGGTAGATGATCTCGGCGATGATGCCGATGCCCGTGTGCGGCGGCGGCACCGACGAGTGGCCGCCGTCGATGCTCAGGGCGAGATGCAGGTCGATGCTGCCCTTCTCGCCCACGCCGGGCAGCGCGTAGACCACATCGCCCAGCGTCTGCAGGCCCATGCCGCCTTCGTCGAGCAGCAGCTCAAAGCTGTCGCGGCCATAGCGCTTCTCGAGCACCTTGGCGATCTCGCCCGCGCCGTTCCAGCCATGCGACTCCTCGTCGAAGCCAAACGCGAGCACGACCGTCCGGGTCGGCTCCCAGCCCTGCTGCAGGAGATCCTCGACGGCCGAGAGCAGGCCGATCAGCGCGTTCTTGCAGTCGCTGGCGCCGCGTCCCCACAGCCACTGGCCGTCGAAATAACCCGAGAAGGGCGGGTAGGTCCAGTCGGATGGGTCGTCAATGGGCACGACGTCCTGGTGGGCCGTCAGCAGCAGCGGCTTGACGGCGTCGTTGGTTCCGTTGAGCGTGAAGATCAGGCCGAGGCGGTTGACCTTTTCGACGCGGGCATACGCGTGTCTGCGGAGTCAGTATGTGACAGGAAGATCAGGTGGAGATCAGGTCACCCACGTCAATGGGAACAGAGACTCCAGAACGCGGTGGAGGTCGAGGAACGGGGCAAAGTAGTCATCGTAGGGATCGGTGACGGCCTCGGTCGAGGTGGAGGGCACCTGGACGGCTTTCGACAGGCGTTCGGCCTGTTTCGCACGGATGGAGGGGTCCTCGACAAACTTGAGGGACGAGTGCAGGCCGTCGACAGGAGGAGTCACCTTGGGGGCGAGCGGACAGGCGTCTTTGAAGCCATTGGGCTCGAGGGGAGTTTGCTGGAGGAAGGGCAGATGGATTGACCGCGCAGATGCGGTGGACAGCAGGGCCAGGGCGGAGAGAAGCCGCATGGTGGTCACTTGAAGATGTCAGCAATTGGAGAGGAAGAAAGAGAGGTAGAAAGAAAGAAAGAAAATACCTGGCCAGGAATTCTGCTATCAACCCCGCAACGGCGTCAAGTCCGAAGCTATTTTACTCGATTATCTTATCATCAACTGTGCTAGCGATGGCGCCATCGGAGCCCAATGCCAAAACAGGCAGGTCGCGTGCATTCCCTTTCGCTGGACAATAATAATTGACGAGGAGTTGTTAACTCAGAGTTGCTAAAGCGAGGGAGATTTCTGGAGGAAGAGGATGACAGTTCGCTTGCTCTGATTAGTAAGGAGCCACGTGATGCTGGCAATGACAACGTCAATTCACTGAATAATTAATTATCAATATAAATAATCAATATATAAATATTCAATAATAATGTCGTCAGGTATATAAAAGAGAGAAAGTCTCTATTCTCTAATCATAGAAAAAAAAAGCCTGCTAGATGGTAGGCAAGACACGGAATCTGATTAAGACTCGTATCTAGAATACCTATAATTATTCCAATCCTCAACTTGGATTAGCAATGCAATTTATCTGGTATGTTAATTTATCTCATTGGATACTGCCATTAAAAGGAAACTGAGAAACTGACCAGGTATGACTTAGAATGAAATAGGTTGGTCCTAGTTAGAGAGCAGACAAGTAATGCAAAGTCTGTTCCTCATGGTAAGCTCAGAATAGTACCAGACTAGTCTTACGGTAAGAAAATAAGTTACTACTGAATAGATACAGTATACCTTTTAGGAATATGCTGCTGGTTAGCTCTCCGACTAATGCGGAGCCCCGGACTCCGCGCCGCCTCCACCCCGGAATCATCTCAGCCTCGCATATTCTCTTCAACTACTAATATTTCTCTACAGCAGACAGATACCGACCTCATGCCCCCCAAACGCGCCTGCGACTGCTGCAACATCCGCAAAGTCCGCTGCAACGGCGTCCAGCCCTGCCACCGCTGCGTCGCCAATGGCCTCACCTGCACCTATCTGCGCCAGCGCCGCAAGAGCGGCCCTCGCAGCCTGCGCCAGTCGTCCATCCAGAAGATCTGGAGGGAGCAGGTGTCTGCCGTCGAAAACCTGCAGAGCTGGCCGCAATCTCCTTCCCAGCTGATCGCCTCTCCCACGCATACGCCACGCTTCTCCCTCCCCATCCTCCGCACCGTCCTCGCCCTCTACACGGAGAAGCTGTACGGCATCTGGCCGATGCTGAGCGCCGATGACCTGCAGCAGCAGCTGCAGAACCGACCCCTCCGACGTCGAGACCTACACGCTGACCACCGCGCTGTGCGGCGCCACCCTGTCCCATCTCAACGAGACCGTCTCGCATGAATCGCTGCCCGAGCCACTGTCCGCCCACTCGTTCGCCCAGGAGGCCAGGCGCGTGCGCGCGACCTTCGACTACATGGAGCCAGTGACGCTGAATACCGTGCTCACCTCGTACTTCCTGCACATCTACTACGGCCGCCAGCCGGCGCGCGCCCAGACGGCCGCCTTCTACATCCGCGAGGCCATCTCGTTCGCCCAGCTGCTGGGCATGCACACGGAGGAAGGCTACTACCAGCATCCGATCAAGGTGCAGAAGATCATGCGCAAGCTGTACTTCCTGCTCTTCATGACCGAGCGCTACCTGTGCATCCAGTACGGGCTGCCCACCGTGCTCGAGCCCATCACTCTGCCGACCATGGACCACGAGGACCTTCCCGACGTGGTCTCGGGATTCCTGAACCTGGTGACGCTGTTCAGCACGCCCGGCAGCGAGTTCTTCAGCAAGTGGACGCCCCAGAGCTCCAGCGTGTCCGTCAGCAGCAAGCAGCTGCTGCTCCTCCAGCGCGAGCTGCAGGTGCCGACCGAAGTCCCCCGCAGCGCCAACGACATCCAGAAAGTCGACATTGTCGCGACGCAGCACTGGATCCGGTCGCTGGCGTGGAAGCTGTCCATCCAGCTGGGCTACGTCGTGCCGGGCGGCCGGCAGGAGATGGACGTCACGTATCCGCACAAAATCGCGCAGGACGCGCTGTGCGAGCTGGCGCAGATCCCGCCCAAGGCGTTCGAGGTGCATGGCCCAGGCATGGAGGTGAAGATGCACGAGATCGCCAGCGCGCTGGCCGACTCGATCCTGTGCCAGCCGCAGAACGACCTGGCGGCGTCTTCGTTGTCGTTTATCGTGCGGCCACAGGACACGCTCAAGAGCCTGTGCGATCTGATCTTCGCGACAGAGGTCATCAATCCGGACCTGCGTGAGTCGCTGTCCCGGAAGCTGGAGGTCATCCTGGGCTGTTCGACGGTGCCGCCGGCCATAGACGTGACGGACGAGTTGGTCGATCCAACGATTGAGGACGATAGCAGCAATAACAACAACAGCAGCAGCAGCAGCAGCAGCAGCAACAGCAACAGCAACGAGCAGGTCGAGCCGTTGCCAGCGGCGGACATGATGCTTCCTGCCATGTCTTATGCAGATCTGCCGCTGGTCATGGAGGATGGTTTTCCGACGTAACAACTTTTATTG